ACAAAAAATATTTCAAATAATTCTGCACGCGTATTGGACAAAAATTTAGTAAACAAATAAATAATAAATAATGTAAGTGTTAAAAACAAACAAATCTAAAGAGTAAAAAATAATCTACAATAATAAATGATTTTTTTCTAAAAACAACGTTTTTTTGAGCTTGTCACAATGTCTGATTATATTCTTCATATAATGATGACAGATTTTATAACAAATTTGATACACGTTAATAGAAAAACGTTGGGCGTGGTGATTTGATAATTATTATGAAATTATACAGTATAGTATTTGATTTAATGCTTTGTTTGTGTGGATGTATTTAAGTCTATCTATTATAATTTAAATATAGTTGGCCATTTTAATGGTCAGTGTAGATATATTGAACTGATATATGATTAACGAAACCATTACGTGTTGGTCGATCACCAATCTTTTATCTTATAACAAGCGTCCGACATTTTTTATTTTACGTGTATCAAACTTGTTATAAAATCTGTCATCATTATAAGAGGAATATTTATTTTTTATTTTATTTATTATTAAGTTACACGGAACAATACATGAACCGAAGTTCATCATTAAATAGCAAAGCTAGTTCGTTTAGAAGCATTGAGACAGCCACGGAAAATGATGTGCTATGGTAACTGATTTAGACGGTCTAAATTAGTTTTGAATTTTTTCACTTAGGTAGTATTTATTACATTGTCTGGCATGCGCTTGCTAAACGTTTGTTAAAAAAGTTGTAACGAACTTGACAGTTTTTGTTGATTTCACGATGGTACCGGATGCGAAAGCCGTAGCTGGGGGGAATGTTAATTGGATTAACAAACCAGTTAACTAACTCGATTTTATTCTTTATTTTAAATTTTTGAATAAGGTTCAATCGTTTTCTTTGTTCGCATAGAGAAGTGAGACCAAGTTTGATACACCTTGAATGATAATCAAAAGGTTTCACTTCTTGCGGTACTTTTGCAACACGCCGTTTAAAGCTTTCAATGACAGAAATATCCTTTTCTAAATAAGGACACCAAGTGGTAATGAAAAATTCTAAAAGTGGACGTGTATAAGTTGTATATAGCTTTTTCCAGAGTTGTGTACCTCTGCTTATGAAGCTGTGTTTTAGAATACCAAGCATTTTGTTAGCCTTGGCTGCAGCAATAGGTGTTTTAGGTCATTGCAAATTAAAACATCAAGGTTTCTGATGAGGTTGATTCAAATTAAATTCTGATAAGACTGTTGTTTGAGCAACAGTCATCAATAAATTATTGGTGTGGAAGGGATTTGGATTGGTTGAAATGCATTATTTTACATTTCCTAATATTCATTTCCATAAGCTATTCTTGTTCTTCAGTGCTGACCACACTAAGGATTTTTGTGACGTCTGCATACATTTTGCATATACTTTTGCTACTAATTTGTTCTGGTAAATCATTAATAAAGATAGTGAAAAGAATTGGACCAAAACTGAGCCTTGAGGAACGCCACTAGTAACCTTTTCCCATTGTTACATTTCCAAGTAGGACACGTTGAGTACGATTTGAAAGAAACGCTTTAATCCAGTTTAAAGTTTTACCTTCAATTCCATAGCATTTCAGCTTTTGTGGTAGTTTAGTGGGAGGAACTTTGTCAAATACCTTAGCGAAATCTAGGAAGACAATGTCAACAGGAAGCTTACGTGATTTATTTTAGGCATTCTGACAAGCTTATAGAAAAGTTATTTTCTACTTTTCTACTTCTAATGGACTTTTTTTTGTCATGCTAAATTTTAATTTATGTATTATTACCAAGTAGGTTTATACTCATATGACATTATTTAAAAATGATTTTGATTTTAAATTTTGATAAATTTAAAAAGTTGAAATAGCAATTCAAAAATAAAGCGTATAAATTAACAACTAAAGTATGTCAAAAATATTTCGTTTGAGTACTTCTTCATTTTCACTTTCATCACTTGTACTTTGTCCTCGCTCGTCATTTTTTCCTAAAATATGATCGATAAAAAATTGGTAATAAATGAAACACCTTCTTTTAGACATTTTTCAATGTTATTGTATATATTATTGTATTGTAATACATTTTTGTTATATACTTAATATATTATAATATTATTTATTACATAATAATGTAATATTTACATTTTAAGAGTTCACACGCGTTTGTCCTCGACGTTCCCAAACATGACGTTCTTAACATAACAGTCTGTGTTTATGACAAAGACATAGATTTGTCCCTCACTAATTTTTAGAATTAACTTTTCATTTATATCTTATGACTTGAAACAAGATGGCAGGTGCGATGTCTTAATCTATCATTACTGGTGACAATTTACATTAATAATCCATGGCAAAAATCCATCGTAAACCATGGCAACAAGCTGTTCACTCCGACTGTGGCAACTTAAATGTCTTTATCAATCCTTTGTATACCATTTCAAGATACTTTTTGTATTTAAATAGCTTCTCTACTAAAAATAAAAATATTAGATTAAACTCTAAATATTACATTTTATTATGTAAAATACAAGGCAACTTAAAATATAAAACAAAGAGAAAATTCAAAGATGTCTTTTATGAACCCAAATAAACAAATATCCATATATATTAAAAAGATAGCAAACCAAAAAAAACTCAACCACACCGCAGACGATACATCAAACTGAAATCTGCATATACAAAAATATTTCAGTGGACTATATACATTTTGAGCGGACCACTATAGTTTTGCTTATCGGTTACTTAGTGGACCATTATTGGCAGCCGCCAAAAGTAACTAGCTATTGACTAACCACTATTAAGATGTCGAAAAGTTAGCGGCTTGCCATTTATAGTGGCTGCCACTAATAATCCACTAAGTAAGCAATGAGCAAAACTATAATGAACCGCTAAAAAAATTATTATATAGGTCCACTGCAAATCTACTAAAACAATGTTTGCTGGGTAGAAATGCTAAATATTTTTGCTGCCTGTCGTCATTTAATCTATGCAAAGTCAGCAAGATTGTATTCTCAACAAATGACTTTTTATATTATTTTCACCCATGACTTGAAGATTGCTTTAACAAAAAGAAATATGCACGTTGAAATGAACGTTATTGGGTAGGTTTGTGGTTGGATTTAATTTTGGAGCAGACACTCATGCAATCCTATAAGACCAGAGGATAATTAATTATAGAACGCAGTACTATTGAGAGCACGAGGCAGTGCTTTTTGAATTCTACAATAAAAACTTGCAAATCTCAATCTTATGTAAATCTCGATAACCACGAATAAGATGCGAATGATTGGAAAAAGTTTTATGACTGGATTTTAAGTAGAAATCCATTTTCATTCAGTTTTAAAAAAGTTCAGGAAATAATGAATAATCTCGAGTTCACTGCAGTAAAAATCAAGAGAAAAAATCAAATTATTATTTACAATTACAAATTAATCAAGAGAAAAAATCAAATTATTATTTACAATTACAAATTAATCAAGAGAAAAAATCAAATTATTATTTACAATTACAAATTAATCAAGAGAAAAAATCAAATTATTATTTACAATTACAAATCAATCAAGAGAAAAAATCAAATTATTATTTACAATTACAAATTAATCAAGAGAAAAAATCAAATTATTATTTACAATTACAAATTAATCAAGAGAAAAAATCAAATTATTATTTACAATTACAAATTAATCAAGAGAAAAAATCAAATTATTATTTACAATTACAAATTAATCAAGAGAAAACAGCAAATTAGTTTTTTTAAACAATACAATCAAAATTAGCCAAAAGAAGGTTTATGTGAATTTATTCAGTTTGATCACATGACTCGAACACTGCTATCAATCGCCCAGGCAATGCTAATACAACCATTTGTTTAACTTATTTATTTGTTTAACTTTTTTGTTTGAAAGGTACTAGGAAATTCATTCCAGGTTATGCCAGAGGATTGGCGATAGCAGTCATTGGAAGGTACATTATGATCACTAATGACAGATTAAAAAATAGTGTGGGACAAATCTATGCATTTTTCATAAACACAGACTGTTATATTTAGAAGCATGTGAGAAACATCAAGGATAAACGGGTGTGAACCCATATAATGTAATTATTACATTCTTATATATTAAGTATCCAACAAAAATGTACAATAGTAGTACAACAATATAGTAAAAATGTATAAAAGAATGCGTTATTCCAACAAAATATTTATTGTCAAATTTTAATTGTTTATTTATATTTTTTTAAATTTGAATTACTATTTATGTTTATCAAAATTTAAAATTGAAATTATTTTTAAATAATGTGATATTATTTTTTAACTTATTTTTTACATTACGTTAATATTATTTAATTCATTTTTCTCATTACTGTTTACAAATATATTTTCTCACGTTAAAGCATAAAGTAAAGTTCAGCATCATGGATTCTTCAAGGACTATCAATAGGTTTTTTTTTTTGGTGTTACTATATGATAATAAAAACTTTTTCCCAGGTAAAAACCTAAAATGACTGGACTATAGGCACAAAATTGTGCAGAATTTTTGAATTGACAAGTTTTAATCTGGTTAGACCAAATTAAAGATTTATTCCTGGTATTTATGGTTTAGTGAAAATTTATAAAATACTATTAGTGTTGAGAGAAAGCGTATAGTTTATTTTAATAAAAAAGTCTGCTTTTAAACTTTTTAAAATAAATCTTTTTTTTTTTTATAATTATTATTTTTTTAAATTTAATCATATAACACCATTATTACGACATTTTTACAACAACATATTAGTTTAATTAACAATTTTTTTTGATTTAATTAATTACGCTGACCTATTAATAGATCATTAGCTAGTGTGATCATTAAGAATAACATAAAAACTCAAAAATGAAATAAACAAACTGTTGAAAAGAATAATAAAAGTTGAAACTAATACGTTTAAAGTATAAAAAATTATTAATATGTCACCTATCTTTGCGGGAAATGCGCAATTGCAAGGTCTGCATTAAAAACAAGAATGAGAATATAAAACATTTATAAAATTTATTTTTCACATTAAAATTTACAAAATTAAAATAACAAAATGTGACTTTATTGTATTGGCAAAAAAGTTTTCACATACAAGTAATAACTCCCACGAACCTCAAGTTTTTTGTTTGAAACTGCAACTTTCTTGTTATTTAAAGACTGCGAAATCAAGAAGTGAGTGAATAAAGCGCTTATTAAACAAACTGTAGCTAAGAGTAGGAATGCAAAATACTGATTGAACGGAAAAGGCAGGTTTTTTGATTTCAGATTTGACAACGACCAAGAGTAGGCATTGCCGAACAAAACGGGACCAGCAGCTCTACATACAAATATACATGAAAAATAGAATTTGAGCACAACATAAAATTGGTGTAAACAAAAATATCATAAGCTAAATACTAAATTTAAACTTAATAAAGTAACTTAAAAAATCATATGCTAAATACTAAATTTAAACTTAACAAAGTAAACTAAGGACTGAAGTTCCCGAAAAACGGTTCTTCGGTATTTTTCGGGGAATCGAAAGGAATCGAAGGTTTCGGTTCCTTATCAGAATAGGAATCGAAAAGAGCCGAAGTTATCGGTTCCTTATAAAAAAGGAATCGAAAAGAACCGAAGTTATCGGTTCCTTATCAAAATATGAATCGAAAAGGATCTAAGTTATCGGTTCTTTATTAGAACAGGAATCGAAAAGAACCGTAAATTAATTACTAACTTTTTTTTAATAATATACTTCCGTTATAATCAATATTTTCGATTCTTTTCAATATTTTCAATATTTTCGGTAATTTCGATTCTTTGTAATAAAAACGGTAAATTTCAATTATTAATTAAAAAATCGTTTTTATTGTAAAGAATCGTTTTTATTACAAATACGTTTTAATAATGGCGTGCAAAATTAAATTCAAATTCATTCAAATTTAATTTCCCTCCCCTAAGGGATTCCCCTTTACCAGTATAGATAGTGGGGTTTTGTGAAAATCTAATCAGTTACAATTTATTGTTTCACAAACAACTCTTTACAACAATTTACAATAATGTCTCAAGTTAATAATGCAATTTGGAATTACTTTACCAAACTACCAGAAGTGACAGTGAATTCTGACACCAAAAAGAAAACTTATAAATCAAGTTGTAATCAATGTCAAGCAGTGTTAACTTGCTGCCATAGAAGTACATCAGGAATGAGTAAACATTTAAGGTAAGTAATGTTTTTTCAATTTTTTCGGTAATTTCAATTCTTTTCAATATTTTCAGAATTTTTGCAATTTAAGTTAATATTAAGTAAAGATTTACTTTATAAAAAAATAAAAAAAATAACAATAGTTCTGAATAATTAAATAAACATAAGCACTGATTATTATTTATTATACAGTAACAGCTAACAGTAATACTGTTTGTTACATATAATTTAATATAGCGCCATCTATAGGAGTTATTTCAATTTTTTCGATTCTTTTCAATATTTTTAATTATTTCGGTAATTTCGATTCCTATCCCTATAATTATTTAATTTAAATCTTTTTTTATACAGATCTCAGCATCCCATTCAAGCCAAAGCTTATATTAAGGCAAAGAATGACAAGGTAGTGCAACTGGCTGCTGACAGGGAGGAAGTTGAAAAGGAGCTTGATAGATCTTCAAGTTTGAGAGGTTTCTTTCCAGCCACAACCACTAGTAAAAAAAGGCTGGATAACCTTAGTAAAAAGTCTCCACCATCCAGTCAGCAAAGTGATCATGAAAAACTTCAAGTAACTCTGGATAAGTATGTTAAGGTGAGAAAAATATTGAAATTTTTTAGTAGCTTAAATAATCGTTTTTATAACATTTTACCGTTTTTATTTGTAAATATTCGAATCAAAATCAAGCCCAAATTGGTAAATTGAGAAAAAATATTTCTTAAAAAAAAACTCGGATCTTTTAGGCGCCGTTTGGGCCATGCAGAAAATTTTTTTTTTCTCAATTTACCAATTCGGGCTTGATTTTGATGAAACTAATGTTAGAAATCTATTTTTATATTAAATTAGAAACTTTTGTGCCCTTTTCCAAATTTATAATATACTTTAAAGTTTAATAACTCTGTAAATTAATAAAAAGTTAAATTTCCACACTAGACAACAATTTAATGATTCCAAATTAATGTCCTTTTTGCTCTAAACTCAATATTAACAAAGTTATTGAGGTTTAAAGTTTTTGATTTGACCTGTCACCTAACACGTGCATGTAGATTTAGTAAACACGTGTTTTTCAAACGTTTCAAAACATTAAAGGCTTTTAACTTTAAACTTCTTTGTTTTAATAGATAGAGTGATTAGCACTGTCTCTAGAAACTGCAACAACTTACCCATATATATTAGGTTGTCAGGTCTTGTTTAACGTAATTTCGATTCCTTGCGGTAATTTCGATAATTTCGATTCCTTTCGATATTTAACATTTTTTTTATTATTTCAGATAACTAAATGGGATTTACAAAGCAGCTGTCAGCTTGATTTTGATACAGTTCTCACTCTGGCCTGCATCATGTCAAATCTTCCTTTCAATATTGTGGAAACTCCAAGAATGAAGTTGCTCTTGAACTATTTGGCACCAAAAGCAATCATAAAAACACCAAAAACACTTGCTACAACAAAGCTTGACATGATTCATCGTAATGTTGAAAAGGCAATAACCAATCAACTTGAGGAAGAAGTACCAGAATGTGAAAGTGTAGCTTTTACATCAGATGGTTGGACTGCAAAAAATGGTGATCCTTTTGAATCTCTCACACTCCATTACATCAACAGTGATTTTGAGTTGAAAAAGTACAGTTTGGACTGCCAGGCTCATTTAAATAGGAAAACAGGTTCTTTACTTGCCAAAAGATTAGACACTATGATTTCAAAATATGAAGTCTTGGCAAGGCCTGACCTAGAAAGAACATGTGTGACTGATGGTGCAGCTAACATGAAGACAGCTGTCAGTTTAGCAACTTTATTGGACAAGCAATTGGTGTGTGTTGATCACATGTTGAACAATTGTTTGAAAGACACATTATGAAATGGTGAGGTTAAGGTAATTGTTGATTAGTGCAAGAGACTTGCTCAAAGGACACATCAAAGCACTAAGGATTGGTATGAAATCAAACAAGAATGTGAATCTCTAGGGTGTAATCCAATCAAGCTAATCCAACCAGTGCAAACAAGATGGAATTCAAATGCAATGCTGTTCAAGTCAGTATTAAGAAATGAGCAAGGTTTGAAATCTGTCAGTGATAACAGCCTGAATGCAAACTTGACAATACTTATACCAAGTGATGAAGATTTTCAAGTAATTGCAGAACTTCATCCTTTCTTGGCAAAATGTCAAGAATACTCAGAGATTTGGTCCTCAGATAAAACACCTACAGTTCACAAGATCCAGCAACACCTCTTTTCATTGATTACTATGTGCCATAGGACAGTTACACAAAATACTTCAGGTAAAAAATATTTTTTTGTGATTCTTTCGATTCTTACTAATAATTTCGATGATTATCAACAAATTATGCAATTTTGATTATTTATTCATTTTTCTCTTTTCCAGGTTCAAGAATTGCTAAAGATGCAATGACCAGGTTTATAGAATACTTGGAAACTAGGATTCCAGATAAAGGCACTGAAGTTAATGACTTTAATCTTGCAAGTGTGTTTGATCCATTTTATAGAGGTTATTCTATCACATTAATCAAGGGCAACAAAGATCATTTAGATGGAATAATAGACCAACTGGTAGATAATCATCCAACTACCAGAGAATACAACGAGGCTTATGAGGCTTCATTACCTTCTTCAATGTCAAACTTAGATGAAGATATGGATGATTTTGAGAGAATGGCCATGGAAAATGAAGGAAATGATGCACCAACTTTGGCAGGACCATCAGAGCCTCCTCTGAAGGTAGATATTCATTTTTATTAATAATAATTTCGATTCTTATAAATATTTCCGATACTTATAAATATCGATTCCTATACACATTTTCAATTCTTATACACATTTTAGGTTCTTTGCGGTAAATTCAAATTCAAATTTTTTTTTTAGATGGAATTTAAGAGGTACTTGTCTATGCAAAAGCCAGCTAAGGATGTGAAGGTTTTGGAATGGTGGAAGGTCAATCCAAAGAAACTGCCATTACTAGCTGCTATGGCAAAGTACTTGTGTCCACCAGTGACTTCATGCTCTTCAGAAAGGCTATTTTCATTAGGAGGAAATATTATTAGTGATAAAAGACACAATATGAAGCCAGAGACCCTTCAAAAAATAATGTTCATAAAAGATACTTTCCACTAGTCAAATCAAAAATAAGGTCCTGGGACAAGAAATGCCCTGGTGAACCAGGCTATCAGTCTCAACCTCTACCATCCACCTCTCAAGATCAACCTCTACCATCCACCTCTCAAAATCAACCTCTATCATCAATTTCACAGACTCAACCTCTACCATCACCTTCTCAGACTCAACCTCAACCATCTCCATCTACACTAACCCAATCAACCAAACAGAAAAAAATGAAAAGTTTTTTGAAACCAAATGAATCACAGTCTCAAAGTCTACTACAAAGAGCTAAAAAAAGGAAACTTGTACTTGAATCACCAATGAAAAAATCATCAATGAAAAAAAACCCTATATAAGATGCATCTAAAGATTTATTTAATACTGAAGCTAGTGATAGTATTACTAGCGTAGCTTATAGCAGTGCTAGTAGTAGTCGCAATGGCAGCAAGGACAGTGTCACTGATCTCACTGATAGTGATTTAGAATAACTGTATTTTTCAACTGTATTTTTGAAAATAAAAATTAAAAAAATTCAAGTTTTTCAATTCTTAGTAACAATTTCGATTCTTTGTAGCATTTTCGATTTTTTGCGATATTTCCCGCTAAGAACCGAAATTGGAACCAAAATTTACGGTAATTTCGATTATTGCCTAAAATTAGGAATCGAAAAGAACCGAAGTTATCGGTTCTTATCAGAATCGGAATCGAACTTTACCGTAACAACGATTCTTTCTTAAAATAAGGAATCGAAATTTACCGTAATAACGATTCTTGCCTAAAATAAGGAATCGAAAAGAACCAAAGTTATCAGTTTCTTTTCAAATTAGGAACCGAAATTTACCGAAGGAACCGTTTTTCGGGAACTTCAGTCTCTAAAGTAAACTTAATAAATTTTGTCTAGAAAGAAGCTTCTTTCTAAAAGTTATTAAGTTTAAAGTTACTTTAACTAACTATAAACATGTGTATATAATAATATTTGATTTGATAAAACAAAATATCAACTTATTTCGTGACGCGTGTTCTTTT